TATCCTGACAGTGTTTAATTATTGTGTTTTGTTCAATAAATAATTGCTTAGTATGCTTTTATTTCTCCCCATGTTGGGGATCAGTGGCAGCATTGGGTCAAGTTTTCGAATCTAAATGAAGTCATCCTCGCTTAAACCTTACTCATATTGTAAGCTGTACATACCAGTAAAAGCGAGTAAATATTGAACGCAATGCTTCTGATTTCAATTCAATCCGACGAGGTTACTAGATTCAAACTGGCTAGTAACAACACTCTAAGACCTTTTAACTGTCCAGCGATAGTAGTGTTTAAGAGACAATTAAGGTAACCTGAACAGTCGCGCTGCGGTGGCGTCGCACACCCCTAGATATGAGAGAGCCTCGTAGTCGTAAGTTGCACCGATTTATCGGCGATATCTTCTTGCCGATGTTCACGTAAAGTCAGCTTGCACGAGCAATACATTTTCCATCATATAAATTGAGAAATAGCAATCAGCATTCAAGGTACAGCAAGCTTATTGGGGACATGGATTTTTTTATTACAATATTTAAATAAAATGAGGAATAGATATGCCCTGATTCGCTTTGAGATAAGCCATGCAAACCATGAACTACTTTCATAGTTAAAGCTTGGTATACGTATAAGTATTTGACGCTTAAATTATTCAGACAAACTGTTTAAAAATTGATTCATAAGATATTTATCAAAGATAATTCTCCAGTATAGATGACTCAAAAATAATTCGACTCTCGATAAGTACGATTGAGAAATATATTTTCCTCATTGTTTAATTATTGAATGTTTTTCGAATCTTTACAGATAAGAGATTATATATAAAATACAATTTGCTATATGTCGCTATTGCGCAGTCTCTGGTCAGGCCACCAGGGAGATCAAGTCGTCGGGCGACGTCAGCGCTCGACAGTCCCTTGATAGTACTTTATAGCTCGACCAGAACCATGGAATATGCTATAGCTCTCTTGCTGCAACACGCGTCACTAGATTATGTGATTTGAGCCCACAATCGTGATTCCTGTGTTACGTAACGCATGAATCATTTCCAGACAACCATTGGACTTGTAATGCGCCGTAAACATTTTAAATATTTTTCAAGCATATTATCTTTGTAAACAAATTGTCAACATCAGAGAAAATATTTCGACTTGTATTTTTAAATTCACACACACACACAAACACATGCACGTACTTTAAAGTCTTGCTTTGAGTTGGAATGTTCAATCTTGGTTAGTTCGATTGATAAATCAGACCGATATCAGTTTGGCTCATTTTTTTGTCTAATAATAAAAAAGAATGATGAACCTGACTGATGGCTAGTGCTAAACTTCTATAATTTTGTTGTGCAGAAGGAGAATTCTTTCATACTTTAAGAGATGTGATCAGAATTTGAGAAATCGCTCTTGAATGACGACGATCAAGTTGCCTATCACTTTCTCTGATCAAACTGTATTATAAATTCCTAATGTAATTTTAGTGTCTCAGATTTCAAATGTCAAGTCATTTTTGAAGAAAAAAATTCGAGTTGGTCGATTTTTCTACTCGTATAGCCTTCGTATTGGACTGATTTGATTTTTATGTTAACTCGTGCGATTATAGTGTATCAATTAGCCTGTTTATGAACTAAAAATGCTCACAAAGGGCAAAACTTTTAATACTGAATTGCTATTATTTCGAAACTATACTCGCATCACTTTACAGAACCATTCCATTTTGCTGCGTAATGTTATTATTGTTTCATGTTCATGACCGAATTCGGATTGGCCATCTTAATTCAATGGAAAATGTGATACTTGAAGTAAAAATTTTATTTTAGCGAACGAATTTTATCCAAGTTCAATATTTTTAAGAATACTTTCCCAGCAAAATTTTCATCTATATTATAGATGAATATTTTCCCGTAGTGTACGGCGCTAATTAAAACAATTCTAAATTCGCCTATTTTATAATGCGCACCACAGGTGATGAGCGTAGCACCAGAGATACGCGTACCTCAGAATCGTATATGAAGTGAGAAAAATTATTATATTCAGTTTTCCTGACCATCAGAAATATAGGCAAGGTTTTTCATCGTTAAGCGAAACCAGTCTATTATTCATCGGATGGCTTCCCAATTCAAGAATTAATGATAATTTGTATTTTGGAAAATAAAAGGCGGAACAAGTAGTATCTCCTTTATGCGATCGTTGACGTTATAAGTAGGTATCGTACATGTATGAGTAAGTAAGTAGTATCGTTCCACCGTGGCACGGTTAATGGAGATTTGAGTCAAAAATTATAGGCAAGTCTTCTCGCACGCCTGCCTGCAGCTTCGTTACTTGCATCTGATATTTAGTTTTGTTCTCACTTTTATTGCCCGCTGTTTAAGGTAAACCATAGCAACAGGCATCACTGATGAGTTTCAAATGTTGGAAAATTTCCGTTTCTTGTCTACCAGTTAAGGAAGGGAGTAGGAATTCTTTTGACTTCGAACAGATCCTGCTTCAGCCGTCGTGGAAATTGAATCGAAACAAAGGCTTGCCTCCTGATAGCCGGCGGAGTGCGTACGAGAATCTCGTATCATATCTGACTTTGGATCGTAAAGAAGAACCTTTATAGGCTTTGTCTAGTAAATACGACGCTGCTGTTTGCAAATATGAAAAAATGAGTAATTATATTGCATTCTGCCGACCAGTACGAGGGGCAGGGGGCTATAGTTCGCTAAAACGGTGAGTGCCCCGGCAAGATGTTTCTAAATTTAGCCACCATATCGCACCGCAAACCGGTTGCCCATGGTGACTTTCTAGCACCAGGCACCTCTCTGACGACAAGCCATGAGTAAATAGGATTAAATTAAACTTGACGATCAAAGGGGTTAAATTAGGCCAACGTACACGTGTCTAAAAATATGATTAAGTGAAGAAAAGTTTTAAACTCGCCCTCCACCCTCCCCCATTTTACCCTCTTATCCATCAACCCTCGAGAGGGATCTCGCAGTTATTGACCGAGGCAGTTGTTTGCTGACTCATGGACTGAGGCAGTTTGCTGACTACTGGACTGAGGCAGTTTGCTGACTACTGGACTGAGGCAGTTTGCTGACTACTGGACTGAGGCACTTTGCTGACTACTGGACTGAAGCACTTTGCTGACTACTGGACTGAAGCACTTTGCTGACTCCTGGACTGAGGCATTTTGCTGACTCCTGGACTGAGGCATTTTAATTGCTGACTACTGGACTGAGGCACTTTGCTGACTACTGGACTGAGGCATTTTGCTGACTCCTGGACTGAGGCATTTTGCTGACTGCTGAACTGAGGCAGTTGCTATAGCATGGAATATGCTATAGCTGACTACGCTACTGAGGCGGTTTGCTGACTCCTGGACTGAGGCAGTTTGCTGATTCAAGGGCTGCATCAGTTTACAGACCAATAGATTGCAGTGGCCCTGCAGACTTCTGCACAACGGAAGCATGCAGACTTACAGACTGCAGCAGTCAACAGACTTAAGAGCTCCAGAAATACACAGACATATGAATGACAATATTTTACAGCTAAAGCAACCTATTTCGTTTCTGACATCTGGCTTTCAACATAGATACAATATAATTTCATTATTTCAATTTTTAAACATAAAATGAAACTTTAATAACCTATCGATGACTCCATTTTTAGACCTAAAATAAAATATGCGTTTAAAAATTACTTTTTAAGTTACAACACTTCTAAAGAATCCAATGCATCAGATGTTACACATGTACAATAAATTTCCAATTTTATTTCAAATATTAAAGAAGTTTGTATTTTATTTTTGTACAATATAAAAAAATTCTCAAAAAAATATATTTTTTAATTTAAAAAATGATTTATTCTGTCAATTGATTCATACATTGTCTACAACTTTAAGTAAGTGCGCAAATTTTCAGATCGATTGGACAGGTAGAAGTGTGTTAAATATCAATTATAAGATTGGTAGCAGACAAATAAACAAACAACAAGAAGTGAAGTTAAAGAGAACTTTTGGAAACAGTGAGATTTCAGATGTCTGAATTCCAAAAAAAAAAATACTTCAAATTGAGTTTTCACCTATAGTTAGATTACAAGTTGAGCATAAAACTGTATCTCTACAGATCGAGATGTTAAAAGGTATTTTAACTCAAATAAATAAAAACAATATAATACATGTTTTAGGTATGCAACGAGGCTTATGCTTACGTCATCCTTGAACGTAACTTTTCTTCAAACCAGTTTCACGTTTATTACTTCAAACAAGTTCGTTTATAACTTCTATATGCATGATTTAATTCGTGTGGGTATCCTTCATTTAGGCAGCAAAAGAACTATACATTTTTTAATTTTTATCTCTCAATAAGAGGTCATGTAGGCAGGTCTGCAATAATAGGAGGAGCAGAAATCCTCCTCCCAGGGATCCGGGCAGCCAATGAGCATCAAGGCCAGACTCCCCTCGAGTATAAAAGCCACGTCGCACCTGCAGCGGCATCAGACTGCAGGAGCGTCTCATCAGGTGAGGTTCATGTCTTTTGTCAGCGCCTTGCTGCGCTAGGACAACAGAGAGTAGCAGAGAACTTGCACAAAATTGACATCTATAATGTTATTTTTTTGGTAAGATATTTATTCTAAGGAAATTTTATCGAACTCATTTCAAATGCAGTATTTACTGCTCACTTGCGACAAGTGCGCGAATTTTCACAGTAAATTACAAAACTTTGGCAGCAATTTGCTCATTTAATGTTTTTTTTCAGCCATGGCAGGAAAGCTCGTCGTCTCGCTCGCACTCGTGCTGCTGGCAGCCTCAGCAGCCACGGCTCGTCGTGCACATGCCAACGATTACGTCAACTCATACTACGCCAGGCAGAAGGTGAGTGCCTCTACTTAATGAGTACTCCAGGCAGAAGGTGAGTGCCTCTACTTAATGAGTACTCCAGGTAGAAGGTGAGTGCCTCTACTTAATGAGTCCTCCAGGCAGAAGGTGAGTGCCTCTATTTAATGAGTCCTCCAGGCAGANGTCCGCGACGAGAACACCAAGATCAGCGCTGCTCGCGAGGCCTGCCGCGCGCTGCCCCCCCGCGCGCTCATCGGCACGCCTAATGTTCCTGGCGACTTCAACTACGAACACACCGATGACGTAAATATTAATTGAATTATTTTGACCGTCATTTTCATATATGTAGTATAATTCATATCTTAATACTCTGTCATTTTTTGCTTGTTAATTTATAAGCTCAGTTTACCGTTTTATTTCTTGAATTTAATTTTGTCATGCACTATAAAACAATGCGGTATGGCATTCAGTATCTTTGATGATATTTTTATTGAACTTCGTTTCAATAAGGCTAAGAATTTTTATACGTGAACAATAATAAAAATCAACTTATCTATATTTCAATGGTAAGGTGTCTCGTATAGAAAATTTTAAACGATATACATTCCAATTTCCACGTATGATGGTAAATTAAAAGTCCAACTCAATAAAATTAAACAAAATTGTCTGGAAACATCTGTGAACAAATTTCGAATCCTTAACTAGCTGTCAGAACTTTCAACGCAAAAGATTAGATTTTAATGTTAGTGAAATTTATATCAATCAATATTAATAAACAAAGGAAGGTCAAAATATATATTTTTTAATATTTATTTAATAATATTTATATCTACATATATGAAGGTAACAAATATAAACACATATTTGTTTAATAATAATAAACATATATTTTAATAATAATAATAATTGTTTAATTTGGTTTAATACGAGCTTGTTTGGTTCTCAGCACCTGCAGGAGAAGCCGTACTTCACCCAGGAGATGGTGCGCTACCTCAGCGAGAGGATGATGGCCAAGACCTCGAACGCCACCTGCGTCCTCAGACAGCTGGGATACGTGAGTGAGACAGGCATTAACTTAGCGATATACATGGCGTTATAAATGATAGTGATGAATGTACGCGATTTACTCTATGAACTTTTTTCGAGAGGATACGTGAGTGAGACAGGCACTAACACAGTGATATACATCGCGTTATAAATGATAGTGATGAATGTAAGCGATTTACTCTATGAACTTTTTTCGAGAGGAAACGTGAGCGCGAAATGCTTGATACTGTAATTACTACCGAAGATACGCGGCCCTTATAAATCTCCAAATTTAAATCTCTGACCTTAACAATGGACATTGGTTAGGTAAACCTTATCTCACGACTGGAGTACGCAAGTTGATTTATGATTTACCTAAATTAACATATTTTTGTTGTATTCTCTTTTGCATATCTTTTTGTTGTTTTCTGTTTGTTGCATATCTTTATCCTATCAGGGGAATTTGGAATAGAAGAGTGTTTTTTTTTCAAATTACAGACAATCTAACACCAACTGCACATATTTCACATACGAGGAATGGAATATTTCACATGCGAGGAATATTTAACATTTCATGGCAAAGCCTCGTAGCTAATTTGTTCTTGAATTAGACTGATATGGTTAGCAGCCTTCAACTTAAAGGTGGGGAAATTGTCTTACAACCTTTCCAAATTAAAATTAAGGTTAATAATCCTTAAAATAAGTCGTGAATTTCATAATTTCTACCTAGAGAAATTACCATATTGTTGTATTTGACTGCATGTTAATTGGTTCCTTTTATTATTATAGAATTTAGTGATATTAATGCTTCACAATGGGCTGCATTTACGTAGCACAGTACAGCACATACATTTTCGAATGGAGCGTTTAAAGCTTTACATTGTGGAGTATTGGATATGAATTTTCAATTTTAGGCCATTGATCACAATGTAAAAAAAACATTATGAGTATATGTTTTGTGCATATCAAATGCAAAAGTCTTCATAGACATTTTACAATTTATTTTTAATTTCAAAATTGCAGATGGATGAGAATGATCATCTTCTCTATGAGAACTACGTCTCTAACATCAACGCCCTGTCCGTTAACGATGCCGAGTTGAAGACCGACCTCGTCGAAGGTGTCAACGACTGCAAAGCCATGGCTGTATGTATTAAACCACGGTCCTGTTGATGCATCCAAATCCAGTCGAATCACTTGTTTAAAATATTTAAGTATTTCATATAATATGGAACTTGAATAATATTCGAACACTTCATAGTCGTCCCTTTTCATAGGAATGCCTGCCGCTGACCAAGATCGCATACCCCCTGACTGCTGCTCTGATGCGATGGTCCACTTGGTCCAAGTGCTACGTCAGCATGGTCTACCAATCGTGTATCAAGAAGGACCTTAGGGCCAACGCTCAGGAATTCGAGCTCCAGGGGCTCGGAAACTTCCTCTCCGACTACTCCGACTCCGCTAAGATGTACGCTGTTGTCTGGGCCAGGACTGTGCTCGACCAGGGAGCTGATTTCCTCTGGTAAAAATCCCCCTCGAAAAAGTCAGCTGCAATCTATATCCCCGTTCGATTGATGAGAAATGAAGCCAAAATTGAAAAAGTATCCTTTCAGAGAACAATAGCTGCCTTATGGTTAAAAATATGGTTGTCAAAGTTAATGAAATAAATGGACATGTGATGATTTACTTCAATAATTGTAGCATAAAACTAGCAAGGGACTACAAATAAAAATAAAATTTGTCATTGAATTTCATTTTTTCTCTTTAGACGTACGTGTTTCGTAACAATTTTTCACCTTATTGGACTTCTTTGAATTTTTATGTTCATCATCGAAAGATAAATAGGATAATTTGAGCAATTAAATCGAGAATTTACCCAGAACTTCGAAGCGCAGGATATACTAAGAAATTCACTGTTTCTTCAATGTAAACGCTTCAGAGAACAACTCCATCATAAGCTTAAAATTTCAGGAAGAAAAGAATAATCAGTACAGCGACAAAATTTTCTGGGTATAAATTGAACCTAAATTG